ACACCAAACGCACAAACAAACAAGATTCAACGACACCACGCCGCTCAGGTATCAGCATTGCGACACCATTGTCAATGTCAAAGCTGGATTCCTTCCGTTTCATGCCTGGCGCTGTTTCACGAGCGCATACCTGGCATTCGGCACTCTCTGCGCCTAGGATCTCGAACGGTACCGTGAACGCGAAGGAGGGCGGCGCAGTAGCCGCTAACCAGGCTCCCATCTGCCCAAGAGATTACGACCCGGTTGACTGTCGTGGACTCACGCGGTGCTCGGACTCTGAGGCCACGCGAGGCTCTACTGCTGAGCTTCCTCAGCGAGAGCCGCTGAAGGACCTATCTATGTTTCGGTTTGAGAATCGATAGCACTTTCCTGCGATGGCGCATGATTCACTCGATTGCGCAGTCCTCGAAATCCAATGCACATTTTCCGGTCGCCTTTCACTCTTGCGCCTCAATAGCACGCACATAGCCTATGCAAGCTCCAGACTTTTATGCAAATGCATCGATTCCATTGTGTGCTGACGAGTCAGCAGCTCGAATGCTTGATGTTGTGCATGAAAGCTATCCGAGGTACCGTCCTATGGCTTTGTGCGGCGGACAGTGCTTGTACACTAACCTGAGATGACCCTCACGAGAACTCGACGGCGCTTCCAGTCTGCGACGAGTAGAAGGTGGGGTATCAGTGCGCGACGGATGACCACGATGGCCAGACTCGATGACTCACCATGATTAGGCCCACTGCGTCGGGATTAAAGAGCAAGACGAGAGAAGCAATGACAGTGCGGTAAGTCGTCCGCTTGGGATGCTGTCGTTCATGCTGACGCCAGGAGCTCACCGATCAATCCAAAGAGACCCAAAATTGAGCTGAATACTTCAACGATGAGGATCTTGACGAACAGCTGAGGATCGGCAGCATCTGCCACTGCAGCATTGGCGCCGGTGACTCCCACTGCCACGCCGCAGAACAAGTTGCACAAGCCGACTGTCAAACCACCCCAGAAGAGCACGTGGCCTGGTGGTTCGTGATCTTGAAGGTAAGCAAGGCAAGGCCCAATGTACATTGCTAAGGACGGGCCTAGCATAGACTCACCAGTCAGGTAATTATCAGCTGTCCACAACCCGTCGGCGCCTCCTTTCAGGTTGCCATTGATCTTGGCACTGAAGACGATTGCCATGATGACGCCGTAGATAGCCACGACCTCACAGAAAATGATTCTGTAGAAATTCGGGGGACCGGGGGGGTGGTCGCGAGAGACCTTACAGTAAGCAACATTGCCTGCAGCGGAGACATCAAAGAGCGATGCACACTCACGAGATCAGGTTCTTTGTAGTGATGCGAGGTGACCTGACTCCGGCTCCCAGGATGGACGAGCCAGTGATGAAGATGCCCCTGGGGTTGAGCAAGAACAATGGTCAGTCCAACGTCCCCGAAATTGCCTGAAAGCCAGATCTACATTGAGTATTCGCATCTTGTATGCAGCAGCAGGCCTCAAAGCCCCGCGCGAGCGAGACCAGTGCTTGCACCCTAGCGAGCTGTCAAGACTCACCACCCAGCGCCGACCACGCTCAACCCGATGCACAAACCGATTCCAAGCAGTGCCCACGCATACGGACTCGTCTCTTCCAGAAAAGTCCCGACTGCAAAAGCGCTTCCTGATCCCGTGAAGATCAAATAAAGCGCTAGCAGCGTCGTCAACGATGCAGAAGCACCGACAGAGTAAAGCAGCGACATCCTGTGCCTTTCCGGGGAGTGACGATGCGATGAGGTAGGTGCACTTGGGTGAAACAGCCTACAATGCGGCCAAGTCGGCGACGCGAGCGAAGGCTGCGATCCACAGAGATTGACTGGGAGCCACTCGTGACTACGAAAGGTGGTGCAGAGGTACAACGTTGAGTAGAAGTGTAGGAAGATGGTGGCTCGTAGATGAACAGGAGGCCACAGCTCTATGCGAGATTCAATTGCCATGATTGGTTCGTGCGCTTGCGCCCAATCTCTCGCGCATCTCATCCAACTTTGACTCCAGGGGCTTCCAGGTCACGTGATATCAAGATCCCCGCGAGCGTGCCACCCAGAAGCGCTGTTGTTGCTTCTTGGTAGTCAGAGCGAGAAGCATGATGTGTTCATGACGTTGCTTGAGTCAACTTCTAATGCCTACCAATGCGGACCATCATCTCTTCTAGACGTGTGATCGCGGAGTCAACGTGAGTCGTAATTCTTCTGTTGCCCCTTTGAGAATCTTGCGCGCACCCAGTGCATCGCACACATCGCCAGGGCAAGGCTCACGCTCTGGAAAAAGCATAAATTGCCAGAGGCCAAGGACGACTGAGAGACGCTGCCAGTTTCATCTTTGCAAATTGGCAAGCTTCATAGCCTCTGCAGCAACGTCCGCATTGGAGCTGTGAACGAGGAGGTGAAGTTCCCACGCAGCTTCTCCAGCGGCTAATGGCCTAGCAGCATCTATGTTGTCACTCTCTCCATCAAACTTTCCATTCTTCGCCCGGTCATTGGTGTCCAGCAGGGCCTCGAGCTTTTCATCTCGAGCAATGCAGTTCTTGGCAACGACAAGCAGGCGGCAAGCCGTCGCAGGCGGTAGATGCATGGCGCAGGCTAACATTCGCTTGACGAAGGCAGCATTGACCTCAGAACTGAATGTGGCTATGCGTGGCCTTAGCAGAGCCAGCTCCAGCGCTCTGATGAGAATGTCAGCATCTGTGCGCAGAAGATGGCTATGCATGTGCGGCCTGTTATGCTTGCCGCTAGTTCCGCCAGCAAGCAGCGCCTCTGAGCTCGTGCCAGATGACAGAAGCACCGGAGGATCCTCGATCGTTGGTGAGAGTGCTAGCGGCAACATGATCGCGTACAAGTGTCCCGCCATGTCAGACAATTCGATGTTGAGCGCCTCGCCTTGACCCGAGAGTAGCTCGTACGCGGTGACGAGACAATGAAGCGCTTCCCGGGCGCCGTCCCGTCTGGCGCTGCGCGACTTGACCGCCCCAGCTCCCCAGGCTTGGTCATCGCGCAACATCTCGCTCCCCTCCGCCGTGTCGAACTTTGCTGAGTCCGCATCTGGCCCATTCTCCTCCTCTTCTACATCTAAAGGATGCCGAGGAAGCAGGTCAGACTCCGCGTGCTGGCGAGCCTCGACAACGTGTGCGCGTAGAACAGCCAAAAGATCGCGAAAGAAGTCCACGTTGACGCGATGCGCGAAGCGACTGAGTCCCTCCAGCGAGGAGGCCAACAACGGACCAGGCACGGAAGGGGCCTTCAGGATTGAGAAGTAGAGCACGAACAACAATTTCAGGGTCTCCGTTTGCTGATATTGGGCGGAGACGAAGTGATGAGCACCAAAAGTCACGCTTGGACCTTGTGCGAGAAACTCACATTTTTCTCGCGTTCTTCAAGGTCGACTTCAGCGTTGGCCTCTTTCATCTCCTCATCAATCTCCGCCCTCTCGCGCATTTCCTTGACCTGCTTCTTGCTCAAGTGCTGACCTTTCCCCTTCCGGACCTCCTTCGGCTTCGCTTTGTCCTTTCCAGCTTTGCGCTTGTGCGCATTCTCTCCTTTGCTCGCTCTCTGTGTGTCTGCGCGGGTGTTTCCCAGCTCGTCGCGCAATCGTAAATGGAGTAGAAGATCCAACACCCGTGCATTGACCCTGTACGTCCTCTCCTTGATCATGCGGTTCAGTAGACGCACCACCTCGAGCGAGATCTCTCCGCTTAGATCTTTGCTAAGCACCTCGATCAGTGCGAGAGCGCTGATCTCACTCGACTTACTCCAACCGTGGCGCGACAGCTGTGATACTAAAGCACGAACGAGATTTGTTCGATAGTTGAAGTGGGTCGCACGTGTCAACAACACGCACATGGCCTGTAGTGCTAATTCGGACAGCGCGATACGAGCTATTGGGTGAGGAGCTGAGGTCAGTCAGCGCGTCGCTTTTGGCGCGGCGGCAAGCCCTACTCACCATTGATGACCTTGTCGCACGTTTCGAGATACTGTCGGTATACATCGACGAGCCCCTGCTCAAATTCCCTTCGGCGTGTAGTCTCTTGGTTCGTCTTCTCTCTTCGCTCCGCTTCGGACAGTGGGCGGATTCGATATCCTGGCAAGATGTCCGTGAAAACGGCACACATGCTCATGATAGCCGCTCCTCGAATAGCATCATCGACAAAACGCTTGCCGTCAGTGTTCGTGATGTCGGAATCAGGCGGCGGAGGAATGCAGCGATTGGCGAAGACAGCTAGTCTTCTGAGCAGGCCGAGAGACATTTCCGGGTCCGCGACGACGTCCGTGGCCAGCTTGGCAATCTGCTCCCTAGCTGCCTGTATGCGGTCGCCTCGCTTCTTGAGCCCCATGATTTCATAAGGCGCAAGCATGCCGAAGCGTGTACTTGATGTGATGGTGGACATGCGGGTTGCTGCTCGGCGAGCGGCTTTCTTTTGCTCTTCGTCGTCCGTGGACTCCCGCACAGTCTCCTCGTCTTCTGGGAGGCGATCATGAATTGCTCTGCTAGGCTTTTGCTGGGACTTGTCCGGCCCCCCTGCGCCTGAAAAGTCATTGTCTCGATCACTGAGGCCAAGGTCGGAGTCGGAGGCTGGTGCCCATCCCCGCATGCTGCGTACAGGAAGCTTACGTTCCGCTGCTGCAGCGCTTTGACGTGCTTCAGCTCGATCTTTACGTGCTTGCACCTCCTTGATGCGGGCGGCATGCTCAGCTTCAACATCCATGTCCAAATCTTCTTCCGAGGTTTCGCTATCCATATCACTGAACTCGCTCAGAACACCCTCTTGAGCATCGCTATCATCGCTCAAGCCCTGCATGTCCGTGCTTGCGCTACTGCTGCTGCTGCCCACGCTGGTCGATCTGCCCTCTCGAGACTGGTTGGCAGTTTTGGCACGCTCCAGAGCACGCTCGCGCTTCTTCAACCGAGCCAACTCGGCTCGAGATCTGGAAAGAGGGCACGGGAGCACTGGTGAGTCAGCTATCAAAATACGGGCTCCAATCATCCCACCCTAACGCAGTAACACTCACTTGCTAATCCCCTTGGCATCCAACTTCAGCAAGAAGTCCAAGCCATTCGACGCTTTTCCTTTGCCTTTGCTTGGAATGCCGTTCTCTACGAGGTGGATCACGGGCGCTTTGGTGGAGAAATCCTTTGTTCCATCGCCATCACTTTCGATTCCTTCTCCGGCCATCTCTTCAGCACCCAATGCAGCTTGCAATTCTTCATCTCCTGAGTTGTCCTCTTGGTCGCTTGAGATCCAGGTGCGAGTAGTCGGCTGCTTTGATGCTTGCGGTAGATCTATGTAGGCCTTCGGGCCGCGTTTCTGCTTCTTGATGGCCTTGTCTGAAGCATTCTTGCCGCTCGTCGTGCCCGAAGGATTCCGGGCCTTTGAGGGCGGGCCTTGGTAAGGCCGTTTGCCTGGCATACTGCTTTGTGGAGCAGGGAGCGGACTGCCGAGTAATCGAGATGCGTCAAATGCACGAGGCGAGTTGGGCGGATGAAGCCTTCTTCGAGAACCGAAGCCGATCCACTGTGTCAAGCAAGATGCAGTGCGCCGGCTGCTTGCAAGGTGCTACTTCAGTCGTTCTTGAGGAGCATTCGAGGTGGAGATGAGCGTGCGCGCCCGCGTGCGAGTTGCAAAAAATATTCGCAGGCCGTCGTGTGCGATTGTAAGATGGTATTGGGACGATGAACCGTCAAGTTCACATTCAATCGATGATTGAATCTTCACGCTTAGACACTCGTGACTCGTAACTCTCGACTTCACACCTCGATCGTGACCACATCTACATACGCTTGCTCACCTTGTTGTCTTCGGAGCCAGGGCTTTTCCAAAAATTGTGCCCAAGACCCGCGAGATCTTTCGGCCGAGTCAGCGCGGCGAGCCGTGACATCACGTGACGCTTGCGGCCGACCAACACGTCCATCTCTTGACTCGTGACTCAAACTCAAGACTTTTGACTCTCTTCTGCATGTCTCTTGACCCGTGGTTCGAGAACCCATCAATAATCACGAACGTTGAACACCAAGTCGTGAATGCAAAAGAACAGGTTAGCTCTTATGTCTCTTCAAGCAGCGCGAAGCCACTAGTGGTGGATCATAGGCTGTCATATGAGCTGGATTGTCGATGAAACATCCTCATATATTATTGAAGCTCTTGCCTCGACAGAGGAAATGAGTCGCAACCTGTGCAGACCTTTCGAACCTCTCGGCTCGCTTTGCGCTTCTCCCTCGCAGATGTCCGTGGGCCTGACACACAATGAAGAATGAGCAGCTCAAAGGTTTCCCACATGCGCTTTCCCGCTAGCTTTCCGCAAATTCCTTGAGCACAGTCACTTGAGCTCTTTTGTTGTTCTTCTGCTCTTTTTGTTCTGTGCTCATGAGCCTGTTCGTTTGCCGCCTTAGGAATTCGAAGAATGCACTACTTGCCGTCAGTCGCTGTCCAGTGTAAGCAATGCTGTCTCGATCTCCACTCAGCATGACTGGGGACTCTGGGCGCTACAACTCGGTTCGTCACTGAAGATCACGAGCTCAGACGTCCGCGCAAGTACCTCTCTACCACCCAGACACTCTCATGATGTAGAAGCCTGTTGCTTCTGACTTGGGCCACTTCTCGTCAACTTCACCCTCGTCTTCCCCTTCGAATGAAGCGCCACTCTCGGACGTACACCCGAGCAAGGACCCAAATTACTCTCTTCAACAGTTTTCTCATCCTTGCCTTGCAGTGTGGCAGCCAAAATGTCTGGAGCCTTACGCTTCACCACTGGGTACAGTCCCGTTGTTCCGAGATTTATACGAATTACAACAGCTTGTGTTAGCGAGCCTTGAGCTTGTAGCTGGTCTCCCAAGGCTGCCTAACGAGCTCCCATTCAAGCCAGAAGAGAGAGACATGAGACTTCGTCGCATGGTCATGTCTGACAAGGCTTTTCTACAAATATACAAATGAGGAACGGTCGCCAAAGCTGGCAGAAAGTTGTGCTATGAGAGTCCAATGCTGTCCGAGATCTTAGAAGGAGTTCACGACAAGCTACTACCATGCAGCTAATTGAAGAAAAATTTCGAAGTTGTCCGTCGAGGCTGTCCTGCCGGAAGGTCTGTAATTAGAAGCGACGCATGAGATTCGAGCACAAGCCTGAATTAACTCATCATTTGTCTCTACCTAAGCTATCCGATATTCAAGCCCGCTTCTACACCAATGCAAGACCAGCAGCCCTCTTACCTCCGCCTCGTGCGCCGCTAGCCAGCTACGGGGCCACAATACACGTCATTCATAGACAACAATCCAGCGCGGTTTACAAGCTCTTGGGAACACGAAGAGACTACCCAATCAACGACGGCATGTTTAGCGCAAAGTGCCTAGCTCCCCGACCTCCCTGACCTCCCAGAGATGCGCTAATGCTGATCCATCAGGGAGATTCTGACGCACGAGTAACAGTGCAGCTAGGCCTACCACGAGCGTATTCGTGCTTATGCGAGCGCAAAGACATCGGAGGCTGCCAAAGACTGATAGGAACCGAATCGCGTCCGTGTTTTCTGCGACATAGGGATACGTAATTTTTGTTGCATACTTTGCCCGGACACTACAGTGTTTTCGAGCGT